TCAGTAGCTCTATTCCCACCACAGTCCCCAGTGCCTGGGGTGGGGGAATTCGGCAAAGACAACTGTACTAGAAATGAAACCAACAGTACAGAAGGCCCCTCCCACTGAGATAAGAGTGGCCAACGTACACAGTCTCACTCCATATGAATACAATCCCAGTGCACTCGTCTGAATCCAGATTCCGAAAGGAAATCCAGCCTTGTCCATTCACAGCCCAGGCCCCAAAGTGGAACAGCTTCTTGTTTCCAAAAGGACTCTGCCTTGCAGCCTCATTTCCCCTGGCAGCCCCATGAGGAGGAGAGCAAATGGTTCCAGCGCCATGTTTCACTGGAGTCATGTAACATGCCACTGAAGAAGGGTTTTGCACAAAACTGCTTATCCTGTCTTGACCATTTCTATCCACACGCTCAATACTGTGGCCTACAGATGACCCTCAACTGGATCCCCACCTCCTCACATAATTGCATACTTGGAGTTCCTGCCCCAAATGTGTGACTTGGGACCGTGGACAAGACCAGGAGTAGACAGGACCAGGAGTAGACAGGAGGAGAGTCACAAAGTCATTAAACCAGGGCAGCACTCACTCCTAGGGTCACAGTACCCTGTCCCAGGCATTTCACCAGCCTCTCTCTAGGCCCAGCATAGTAAGCCAGCCTTAGCCCAAGAATGGTCTTCAAGGGAATGAAAATAGGGAGACTTGGAGAAGTGACTACTGTCCTCAAATATATGAAATGAGATGGAGATTTATTCAATGCTATTCTGGAAGTCAAAATATAAGCCAATTTCAACTTCAAAAAGTTGTTACAGACTAGGGACTGATATTTATAAAATACTGAATGCTTTGTACAGTGATGTCATTCATCCACACAGCTGAGTGGGGGCGTTATCACTTCCATAGAAGTAACCAGACAGGCCAACTGGCTGAGGACATTAAGTTACAGGGCTGACTGCTCTAAAGCCCAAGCTCTGAACTCCAACACCAAATACTCTGTGTCAAATTATAACAATTAAATTGGAATATTTTATTTTTAGCCTATCCGGGATGTTATAAAACAGACCTTTAGAAAAATAAGAACAGACACCTCCAAGAGATATTGCCAAGCCAACATGTCAGCTGGGGTTTGAAGTATACTAAGAGAGCACCCACTTCAGCTTCAGGGACCACCAGCCTAGGGCACTGAGAGTTAGGTCGCTTGCCCTGTTTCAAGGAAGCGTATAAAAACTCATTGCCCCTGGGTCCTGTGATGAGAAAAGTTCATAAGGCTGGGGAGAAGGGGAGACCTGGTTTTCCCACTTCATTAGCATTAGAAAATTACAGTGAACTGAGATTTCCCACTCAGAAGTGAGCAGAATAGAATCAGTTGGAAGACCATTTTGGAAAACCTGATACCTGACTCCCATTCCAAGCACTTAGCTCTGAATCCCTGGGGGCAGGCTCTAGTGTTCAGGTGACTTCAACAGACAGGAAGGATAAAACACTGCTCTGGGTGACATGGCAAAGAAGTAGGGAAAGAATTAAGTGATATATAATAAGTCTGATTTTCCCCCAAAATAATCACTAGCTATAAAGCAAGAGTTCCAGTAATCTGAATAAACTGCATTTAAACATTCCTGGCCTCCTAAAGTTTTTAATTAAATTATAAATCTTGCTGTAACTGTTTACTCTTTGGGACCTTCTGTGATATCGAACACAGGAGCTGCAGAGGCCTTTTGCTTTTGTGTGCATATTCACAAGTTCTGGTACATGGCAATGATAACCTCTAAAGACTTGCGGTCAGAGTTAGCTACTTCTGCGTTATAATTCAACCAGTTCTCAGGAAAACCAGGTCTGTGTGTATGTTGTTAAACAAATATCCAGTAGTAAGTTAGCAAAGTAATTTGTTTATCTGATTTATGAGATCAATGCAGCTCTGATTCTGACCTTTTGGGTGCTTCAGTATGCCATGATTAAAATACTGAGGTAAGCAGTGATAATCCCAGGAATGTGCCGTATGGGAGGAACATTCCATCGGAATCTATCTCAATCAGTGACAAGACACTCTCCCTGATTGGAGATTAAACAGGTACCATGCTGGTATCTACTTATGTCCCATCACCTGTTCAAATTTAAACCAATGTAATCAACCCATATATCTTTTAACATGTATTATGCTTATTTAAAAACTAACCAAGAACGGTGATGCATGCCTTTAATACCAGAACTTGGAGGACAGGAGCAGGTTGATCTCTTTGAGTTCAAGGCTAGCCTAGAACTACACTGATGTCCACTAAATGTAAGCACTTAATGATTTGAAATTCAAAGAGCTGGTAAATTGAGGAAACTGTTTTCTTCCTGTTGTCATTCACAAACCTGAATGAGAAATATGTACTTCCCACACCCTCTGTTTACTCCAGAAGATACACTTGAGGAGCTTCTCAAGGGACCTCATTAGCATCCAGAGTTAGCTTCTTAAGGAAGTTCATACAGTTCTTATTGTATGGGTTATTAGGCATGTAGTTCAGGCCACGGGCTTCAGACCAGTCTGCCCTGGTTTAATTTATCGTTTTCACTGTTACATAGAGAATTCCAGGTCTAAATAAATAAACAAACAAAATATAATTTATTCATTTCACCAATAACGCCAAGCTCCTTTCAGGTATTCAAAGTGCTGTCAAAGCTTCTGATGTTATAGAGGCATTCATCATAGGAGAACCTATGGTTTGTGATGTCATGCTACTTGGTCATTCAGCTAGGAAGCCGACACATTAGGCAGCTATCTATAGAAGTAAAGCTTCCACTTAAAATGCACAGTATCTCTCTGATTATAGTGTAAATTACAGCTGATCTGGCAGCCATTGTGTAGCTCGGGGACCCCTTGAGCACTCAGTATTGTGGGGTCTTATTTTCCTATATGTCTGAAAATATTCTTCATGGCTAATGGAAGGGAATGGCTGTGCTTGTAGTAAGTTATTTGGTTTATTTGGGAGGCACAATACTATTGATGGTGCTTCTAACAATGTACAGGCCTATGACTGAATTCGTTCCATAGCTTATATTAAAGATGGTCTCATGGAATCCAGCTCCTGCTTATTCCCAGGGCCACTGGAGCTCAGACCTGGGATAACATCAGTGAACTCACAAATCTAAATGATGATGATGAATCAAGTTTTGCTCCAATTAATTACTTGCTCACAAGTGCATCTGTAACTTCCCCGACCTAAGGAAGTTGGACTGGTACTCAGCATTCCCTTCAAGTGTTCTTTCCTTGTCTATCATGTGAGCTTGTGATACACTTCAGGGCACTGCCAACCAGAGAACATTTCTGGAAACCAATATAATCCATATTATGTTACATTTCACTCTATGGAAGCAAATCCATACTTTTACAAATTCCTAGAGGCGGATGGTCAACCTCTCATATTATTAAATAGATATTCACTGAGTTACCACTGGAAACAAAGGTACACACAGTTTCAAATAAGCGACAAGATGCCTGCGTATTTGAGGGACACTAAGCACAACAAGCTGAAGAGGAAGGGTGGAGTCACAGCATGACCCCTGACTCTTTAGCCAGCCATAATGGCATGGTCTCTGTTTAGAACATTGCTGCCAAGCAAGTGCTACCCAAAATATCTTTCAACACGGAATAAAAGTAGAAACCAGTTCTTAGCTCTAAGCCATACTGTGTTGTGGCAAAAGTTACAGACAATAACAGACAAGAAAGAGACTTGGCCTTTCCATCGTGAGCAACAAGAGCATGCGTTTCCAAGAGGTGGAGTTTTCAAAGTCATCCCTGTGAGACATCCCGCTTCCCAGCACCGAACAAAAAAAGCACCATGAGGATGAGCTCATTCTTCCCGAGGCTTCCCTGTGACTAACCTGGACTGTGTGGTCCAAGGGTAGAGCACTTGCCAATCATGCATGAGGTACCAGGTTCTGTCCTTGGTATCCCCAAGACCACAGAAGATGACAAAGAAAGAGGAGAGAAGAGGAGGGGCATGAAGAGGAGGAGGGAGGCCCTTTCCTTCCCCCAAAACATTGATGTGGTGAAGAAGCTGACATAGGGTCGCAAATGTCCAGAGTGTGTCAGTGAGCAGCACTGTCACTTCTAGTGCAGGGTCCTCCACTGACCTGGTATTAAAGCTAATCACTTCCTTCTGGGTTTTGTGCACACAGCAGGTGCAGTTGAGGCCTATTCCTATACACAGAACACTATGCTGAACAAACCACTGAACTCTGACACAGAGCAAAAGGTTCAAGGTGTGCCAGGCTCACCAAGAGTTATTACTGACTCAAAGTCCTTCATGTGTACTAAAAGTCAGCGACAGGAACATAATATTTAATTCTTAGACTCTGCACAACAGGCAGCTGAAGTTTTCAATAGCAGAGGAGCAAGACAAACCAGAGCATGTTAGAACATACTTCACCAGAGACTTATTTACACGTAAAGCTGCATATGTGACTTGGACACAACCATTCAGGAGAAAATCCTTATGTATAGCAATAGAGTCAGCAGAGCTGGGCTAGAAAGTGGTGAGCCAAGGGTAAAACCCAAGGGGGATCCAAAAAACTCAGTTATAAGTTAAACTTCCTTGGGATGCAATATTCTTAAAACTCAAAAATAACCTCCACAATGACGAGCAAAATATCACATAAAAAGGAATTTTAATAAGGAAGTACCATTAAAACCCAAGACATGAGGCCAAGACAAGAGAAAATGATCAGTAATATTCATCCTGACTTGAAAGTTTTGATTTCAGGTTCAACACAGATTGATCTGAGACATTTAAATATTACATACAAATGTTGCTCATTGCGATTACTGGAATTTTTGGCGCTGAACACACTGCCTGCCTGGCAGGTGCCAGGCTCGACTCATCTCAAACTCCAGACCCTAGGGGTCAGGTCAGTTCCTAGAAAGGCAAACCAGATGGCCTAGGGGAACTCAGGCACCTACCTGGAGACTGTCCCCAGGGAAGGGCTGGGAGTGGGTGAGAGCGGCCTGGCCTGGGGCGCCTACCTCGTTTGTTCTGGGATCCGTGCTTCTTGGCCAGGGCGAGTTCTCTCTGGATTCGGTTCTCCAGGTACTCCTGCTTCTTGGCCAGCATCTCCTCGGTCTCCCGGAGGCGGGCCAGGGCCTCCTGGGGGCTGGGAGCGGCGCGGGCCCGGGAGGAGCGGGTCCCTTTGAAGAACTTGCCCAACTTGCTCATGGCTGGGCAGTGGGGGGCGAGCGGCCCGGCGCCCTGGGGACAGGTGAGCCACAGAGCGAGCCGACTGTACTCCTAGGAATCAACAAGTTGTTTCGGCAGGTGACACCCACTCCCGGGCATTTCCTGGCCCGGCTCGGCCCCGCCCTCGAATGGCCACCCGGGAGGAGGCAGGACAGCCGGCGCCACAGCCGTCTGGGAGTCAGGGAGCCGAGAAAAGTTGGCCAGAGAGAGGGACTGTTTTGTCCATGCTAGAGACAAATTCAGGAGCGACTGACAAGAAAAATAGCTGAGAGAAAAGCAAACCCATGTTCCAAGGGCCTCTGGCCTGGTCTGAGAAAGATTGGGCTTGAGTGCAGGTGGCACACCTGGATATGCAAAGCACTTTTTTGAGAGGGTGAGAGAGCTCACAGTACTCCTGCCTCCCACCGAGATCATGAAAGCGAGGTAAGTGAGCGGGTTCATCTCTTTTTCTGGCCAGGGACAGATTGGGGAAAAAAGAAAAGAAACCATGGGGAATAGTTCTGGGAAGCTTGAATTACAGTATCAAGTTAAAAAGTTACTTGAAGGACATGGGACTACAGTAAAGCCTAAAACCTTGGAAGGCTTTTTAAAATGGATTGAACGTGCCAGTCCATGGTTCATTACTGGGGGAGGCTTAAATGTCCCAGATTGGAAGGATGTTCGCTATGATCTTTAGAGTCGGGTGTTGGTGGCATATGCCTTTAATCCCAACACTCGAGAGACAGAGGTAGCTAGGATGGAGGCTATCCTTGTATGTAGAGCAAGTTCCAGGACAGCCTCCAAAAGGATAGAGAGAAACCCAGTCAAAAAAAAAAAAAAAAAAAAAAAAAAAAAGGGAGGGTAAAATAAGAAATCTCCAGTCTTTCACCTGATCCACTAAGGTCAGGAAAGTAAAGGAAAACTGAGAGATTTAAAAGACTGGCCAACAAGTAAGGCTATAAGTATGTATTAAAAAGGGGGTACCAAGCTAGGGGTACCAGATTAAATGTCTAGGTCCTTGCCTGACAAAGGTCAGGAAAGAAAGGGAACCTAAGAGATCACCCTCAGTTGAAGGGTGGATTGGATTAAATGTATAGGCCCTTGCCTGACAAAGGTCAGAAAAGAAAGGGAACCTAAGATGAAAAGTTGCCCTCAGTTGGAGGGTGGATTGGAGGATCATCCTCAATGGGAGGATAGATTAAAGATGGGTAAATTAAAAAAATTGGTAACAGTTAATAAATGAGGTATTAGTATTCAGTAAAAAAAAAGACAAAGGTATATAAAATAAAAATGTTTGGTTACATTTATATAGGGTAGGTTATTGAATTTTGTGAGTCATCTCTAAAAACTTTTGGCAAAAGCCTGGCCTTTCCACTTTGCATCTACAGAATTACAAGGAGTGGGTATGGCTGTAGCCCCTGAGTGTAGCTCAAAACTTCTCTAATGAAGAAATGATGAGGGACATACAGGACTTTTTCAACCTATTGTTTTAATTCAAAGATTGACTGGAGTTGTTCTGTTAAAGAAGTTTCAATTCAACAAACTAATCATAACCTAGGCAAAAGGAGAGATATGTATGCATGGTCTGTGTGTATGGACGTGGCCATGTCAGTATGTATGAAGTGTGAAATGTAAATGCGTGAATGTTGACAAAAGCAACTGTTCTAACTGCCTTGGATATGATTAAAGGGATACTTAAATCCCTATAAACAGTTAAAAACTACCTAAATCGATTTAGATATAGCCAAAAGAAACATCCAGTCAGTCGGTTAATATCTTAACAAAGGTGTCTGTGTAGATGCAAATTAGGCCTTGTCAGTTCAGATGCAAATGAGGCCTTGTCAGCTAGTGAGAGCTACAGGTTAAAAAAAAAAGGGACTATTTGAGACATAGTATAGTTTACAATCCTTAAATGATTCTCAAAGGTACCTAATGGTTATGTGGTTATGTCCCTTTTAAAGGACATCTACTAATAATTTAAATAGTGATCCCAATTCACCTAGATAGTTGACTAAGGAGGGTAGACAAATCCTTCTACTGTTATGGTCCAACTTCAACAGTTCAAACAAAATTTAAAAATAAAAGGGGGAGTAATGTCCCCAGTCCCCACATGATTCATTAAATAATCCACTCCTCATTTAAAAATTTTTAAAATGTAAATGCCAGCGAGGAATCTGCTTCAGACAGATTCTAACGTAATGGAAGTTAAACAACTATTGCTCAGGTCAAATGGAAACATCCATACACTAGACAGTAGAGAAGACCCTAATTTGGGGTCGAGGGCATGTTTGTGTTTTCTTACAGGAAAAGAATAAAGCTTCAGTAGCTGTCACAACATTTGGTGAGATGCATGGAGCAGAGAAAGCTGGACCTGAGACCGTGGGAGCCTGCTCAAGCCAGTTCGAGATCTCCTAAGTCGGTGTTCCTGACCCTTGATGTCATCAAATCTACAGCCCGAGAAAGAAATGAAACAGTCAGTTCGAGATTTCCAGTTTCTCATCAGGCTTGCTACATCAACCTCCTGGACCCGTGAGTTTTCATCCCAAAGCCAACAAAACTGGAAGATTAGCAGCTAGCCTTTGATACACCTTAAAACAACAGAATTCATTTTGCCAGCTTTTCCCTTTGGGGGAAAAAGGACCCATTTAAAACATTTGGACATTGGTATGGACTGTGATGAGTGGCAAAAGCCTCTTTTCAGTATTTGAACAGGACATGGTCACTTGAAATATCAGACTTGGTAGTTCCTGTTTCTGGAACCACACCTATGCCAGTGTGTTTTTCTGGAGAAATGTGGTTTGTCCTGGTGCGACAGAAAGACTTTGACTCGAGTTACATGTTCGGCTGATACTACTGACATTAAATCGACAGACTACATCACCACAGGAACAAATTGGTACTCTGTAAATAGTGCAACAAGCTTCTTGTTCATATTTTTTATAATGCTTCATGTGTAACATCAATGATTGTACCTAATGTATCTGTGCAAGTGCACTATCTAATGCTTTCCTAAGTAGATCTTAAAATGATTGTAAACTTTATCACTGTTTTAACTGTCAAATTGTAACTATAAATCACCCTTGTAGCAAAGAAAGGCTGGTGGTAGAATGCTAAGGCCCAGATCGGGGGATGGGCAGGTGACAGAGAGGCGCTATGTCAGTGGGGGTCCTAGGAATGGTAACAGTGACAGTAGGCATTCTGGCTTCATGCTGAGTTCAAAGTGCCTTAGCCCATGGCAATCCCGATAGCCATAAAGCCTTATTACAGACGATTCTAAGGTTGGGGTCTCTCCAAAGACGGGCAACCTGTGGGGAAGACCCACTCCCACCTAAGACAGGGGTTCAAGGTCCCCCAAAGACGGGCCAGGGAGGGTGACCCTACTTGACCTAAGCCAGGAGTGCCTCATTTAAAAATAAAAAGGGGTGAATTGTGGGGACACCAGACCTTGAACAGAAACCCACTTCCCCTTCGGCCTGGGAGCAGGCAGCTGTGTAATGTTTACTGAAAACAATTCAGTGCTATAACGCTCTTGATAGGGCTCAGATAAGGGCTCACTCACTGAGATACTATGACTTTCACACCCCCTACGGCTAGATGCTTCTTCCTGTCTCCCCTGCTGTGTCTCCCCCGATTCTGGGGCCGGAGATTAAACCACCAGCCAGGAGGGTGAGAAGTCTGGAAAGAATTGTATGTAGATGGATGGCAGAAGTCCTTAAAAAGGGGAAGCATTTTTTCTTGGAGAGACTTCTCTCTCCTAAGCTGACTTGGAGTCACCTCCTAATCTGACTTGGGAAGCATAAAGTTTTTCTTAAAGCAACCGACCGGTCTCTGTGTCTTCTATCCCGACCACCTTGTTACATTCTCGGATGCAGGCTGCACAGCATCTGTCCTACTAAGAATATTCTGTCATGTTCCTCTAAGTGTGTCTTCTGTCGAGGACACTGACCTGTCCCATCATGAAGGTGTGGGCACAGAAGAGGCTGGGCTTGCTCCGATGGCCTCTTGCATTTGTGCGGTCTAGGAGGCTGATGTGTGCTTGATTGCCCTTTGGGATTAGATGACCTCCAAAAGACTTCAAGTGGGTGGAAGATGGTGACCACCGCTTTTCTTAAGGGCAGGACTTTTCTACGTGTTTGGTGGTCACATTACCTCTGTAGTTAGGGATACCAAGCTTCCAGTGTGATTGTTGTGTTTCTGAACCTTAAATTGAGTTACTCTTGTGTTTGAATCTTTGTCAACCACCTTCCCATAAATATCCACATCACAAAAAGTAGAAAATACCTTGTAGCAAATAAAATCATCTTTTTTTTTCTCTATGGTTGTTTTGTCAGCCATGCCTCTTACAGAGGCAAACAAAGCCTTTAGTCAGAATATAACCGAAAACCTATTTGAAGTGCTCTGTCAAGCAATGGTCCGTGGCATTTAGTCTATGCTCTGGCTTTCAAGGACTCACACTGCTACTTTTGAACAACATCATCAGAATCTACATGTGATCATAAACAGACTAGTGCTAAAGACAGCATCGATCAGTGACAAATTCACTTTGACTCCTAAGAAAAGTAAGCCAATGTTGCATGCCATCATGGCAAATTAATCCATTTTTGCCCAACATTGGAACGTCTAGCAAAGTCTAGCAAAAATTTTGCAAAAAATTGAATATTGATATTTACTAGTATAACAGAGAGAGAGAGAGAGAGAGAGAGAGAGAGAGAGAGAGAGAGAGAGAGAGAGAGAGAGAAACTTACTATAATAGCCACAAGCTCCTATCATTTTCTACGGTCCATTTTAAGAATTATGGATTGAACATACATTTTTCTCTAATTTGGTATGTATTCAATTATGACCAGGATTTCTGTTAGTTATCTGAAAGCCCCTAGAACATATTTTCATACTTGCTTCCTTGATCACATTTTATCGTGCAGCTGTCCCCACTGCTGATCACTTGACTCCACCTCTCTTGGCTGTCTTCTATAGCTAAGATGCTGGGGAATGAAGCTGGTGAGGGACTCACCTTTTAAAGCCAGTGGTAACAGTTGTACTCTTTCAAGCACCCACTGTGTGTTCACACATAACCATATGCATTAGCAGTCATCCGTAGATAAACTTAACTGTAGCACGAATAATAAAAA